AAAGAGTTGCCTACACACTAGACTAGACAGAAAAAAACATATGGAAGAAGGATGAAGGATGAGTAGATATGAGGGGGCAGAAAGAGAGTGGGAGGAAAGGAGGGAGCTAAGCCACCGAGGGCCAAAACAGAAGCTAAACCCCAGGGTCTTCAAATGTTAACTCACTGATTGACCCTTTATGACAAGTTCATCCAATAGGGAGGAGTATAGTCCTGTTTTACAGGGTGAAGTTCACAGAGGTTAAGAGCCCAGCCCAAGGCTACAGAATTGATAGGATTAGACTTTGTGCTAGGAATCGGAGCACGCATGACCCCAGAGTCCGTGTTCTCCCAGTAAAGGGTATTTTACTTGTGAGAGACAAGAGTCTGCAGGACAGCCATAAGCAAGAAGTACACGTGGCAGGAAAAGCCCTGGTCAAGGCCAGAAGGTATCCTTTTCTGGGTTTGCATGTTTAGAATTCTGCTCCACAGGAGGGAATAAACAGCTGATTCCACTCAGGGCTTTACTGCTGTTCATAGGCCGTGAGAGTGTTTATGTCATGGGCAGAGCTCCCCAAGTGAATTATAGCCTTTTATGCACTGTGTACATACAGCATTTTCACAGGACAAAGAAACAGGGCGTGGAAGGAATGCTGCCGTTGACCTTTTCTCTTTTTTTGTCCTTTCTCTTCAACCTTCTCCACCAACCTCAAACGTATACTGGCAGCCCTGAGCAGTTACTCTGTTCAGTTTAAGAATGAAGCCTTTAAACTATTTCTTCTTACTAGCATGAGCTGCTGTTTTTCTCTTTTATTACATTTAAAATGGATCCATCTTCACTAGAGCAGAAAGCAGATTTTTTAAAACGTTACTTCAGATGTTTTCTTTAGGCTGGTGTTAACATAAAGCAAATGTCTCTTGAAACTCTGAGCCAATCTGTTAAGAAAAACAGACTTCACTTATGATATTACTATACTGAAATCATAGGCTTGTGGTCTGTAACTTCTTAAAGACTCAATTCATACTTGCTAAGATGTCTATTTATGAAAAATACACATGCGCGTGAGCATGCATGCGCACATGCGCCGACACACACACACACACACACACACACACACACACACACATATAGGAGGACAGCTTTGCCATAGAAACCACAAAGACATGTCTGGTTCAGGCTCCACAGCCCGTACTACAAATAACAGCCCATCTTCTAAGGGCAGACCAGATCCTACGTATACTCAAAGCCAAAAAAATTAAACTACAACACTTCAAACGTAAAACCTGCTTTATAATTCCTTTTTAAATTGCCTTTCAAGATATGAAAATATTAATTGCTGTTACTACTTATATTTGCATGTTTTTTTTCCTTAAATAGAACTTTAGACTTGGGTGCCACGAATAAAAAGGGAAACTATAGTAAGGGTGGACACACTGTAGTTCCAGATAACAACTTAGAATTCTACATACGAATTTGGCATAGACTGAATTTCTAGAAAAATCCATTATTTAAAAGTCTTGAGCCTGTTATAAGTGAAAGTATACAGTATATACATAGTACAGGAGATGCCAAGAGGCCCCGTGAGAGGAAAATAGTTTCAGGAATGGGGAGGCAAGAAGAAATCCTACTAACCAAGAACGTTCTGGGTCCGGAAGGCCAGGCTTTGTAAGTCCTTTAAAACTGTGAGAAGTTTGATGTGATAAAGGCATTATCTCTATTGCTGGGGCTACAAATTTCATGCAGACATGGACAAATTCCAATTTGCTTATCATCCCAACCCTAGCATGGAGCACAATGCTTGGAACATGGAAGATACTTAATAAATATTGCATGAGGGAGAGAGAGGATGCTTAATAGATAATCTTCATTTGCGCGATTCTTTGGCTCTGATCATCCTTCAGCTGGGATCACAGGTGTGAGCATATGGCTGTTCAGAGTGATAAAGTAATAACCACATGCCACTCTGTAATTTATTTTTGGAAACTATGATTTGGATCCACTGCTGCTTCAATCTAGGAGGCCATGGTTCATGAGAACTGGTGGTCCAGGTATTGAAGTCTTACTTATAAAAAACACTCAGTATACTTCTATATTTACCCATTTCATATGACTAAGGTAAGAGCCTGCCATGCTGAGGGGTTCGTGAGCAAGAATCGTACCTCTAAACTCTAAACGTAAGCTAACTTTAATCTCTAGCAAATCTCTAGCTTACTTCCAAGTGGTTTTAATAGCTCTGAGTTATTTTGATAGCCATTTGTTCAACCAAGGAATAAGCAAGTCCTTCTTTGGATGATGGTTGGGGTACATACTGCAGAGGTGCACTGAGGTCTAGAATTCAAAGAGATTCTGTTCCATGTGGAAAAGCAGCTAATAGACCCCTGTATTGACTACTAAGCAGAAATTCTGTTGCTCTGTCACTTGAAATTCTTAGTTCTTAAAAAAAGATGAAAGTAGATGCCAACCTTTTCACCATTAACACTGTTTATCCACAACTTTAATCCTATTTAGTACCTCTTCTGTAATATGAATAGAGGAGATCACCGATAGTCTACAATCCATCTACAAAAAAAGCAGTCTTGGCCAATTTTAGAGACCAACAAAACCAGTAGGAAAAGGAAACACTTTCAGATCTAGGTCAGCTTCTTCTGAATGAAGCTAGAAAAGGGAGGGGGGCGGTGTCAGTGAACTTCTTAGGTAAAAGATCAAATAGTAAATATTTTTGGCTTTGTAGGTCTCTGTTACAACTACTCACTCTGTCATTGTGGCATAAGATCAGCCATAGATAGTAAGAAACGTGTGCTGCTGTGTTTCAGTAAAACTTTGTTTACAAAAACAGGCACAGGGCAGGATTTAGCCTATAGGCAGTAGCTTGTCAACCCCTGGACTAGACAAATAAGACGTTACTACTTGTAGTAAATAACAACGATTCACTTACTTTGCTCTTTTGGCCATTTCATTTCCATCCCATCTTGGGCTGTATGGATAATTTTTCTGGGCCTGGGAGTAAAGCTGTCCACTGTTGGTAAAGTGATAGACGGACTGAAATGTGAGAGTTGGCTGGTCTCGAGGGAAAAACAGGGGCAGGTCAACTGCAAAGACAGAGGAAAGCAAAAGAAAGTCAGAACTTCACCACATCTTAAGACATCTTTTTGGTTACATTGAAATGTTGAGTATGAAACTATTCAAAGCACAAAACATGGTATAGATAAAGGGTATAGAGAGAAAGACCAAGAAATGCAGGGTGGGGGCCAGCAGGTGGCATGTGATTATGGTACTGGACTCCCACGTGGCTGGTCACGGTTCAAGTCCTAGACCTAGCACTTTGCTTTCTCACTTTCCCTTTCTTTGTCTCTCTCTGGTCAAATTTTAAAATAACAATAATAATAAATAAGTTAGTAATCCTTAAAAAAAAAAAACCACAGGGTATCTTCCTTGCCTTCTAGGAGTTGATAATCTAGCTAGAAGCAAATACCTTGTATGCAAAATGTAACTGACATGAGGTGCTGAAAGAATGCTATTGAATGGTTCCATAAGCTCAGGGCAAAGGCATGGCTGGGCGTCTCTGGCCATCTGAGTTTCTCCTCTGGCACTTACATTCCAAAGCAGAGTTAGTTATATATCTCTCATTATACCACTAATACTTAAGGGTTGGACAGTATCTTCTGCATCTATAATCTGATGGAGAAAGGGTGATGGAGGCTGTTTTCAAGAGCGGATTTGGAAATGGGATAAATGGGGCAGGTGACAATCTTTTTACTTATAGGATATGGCAATTAGACCATCAGAAAAAAATAAAGTTATCACTCTACTTCCAATCAAGCTGTGAATTTTGATAGTCAGCAGTTTCAATTTTTTCCATATGTGTTGCCACATATATTTATATCTCCTAAATCAGTGGGAGCTCCTTAATGGGATGCAACAGGGACTAATCTGAGCACTAAATATGTCTGCTGTTAGACAAGAATAGGCTGATTCAAATCTTTGCTGTCAATATGTATAATGTACTCGTGTCTTTTCATTTTGGGGCCCTTCAATTCAATTTTAAAAAATAAAATGACTTGCTATTTTTAGTTATTAAAAACAGACTGTGCCAGTCTATGGCATGGTAGTTAAGGTGGCTGGACCCCATATGGCTGACTATGCAGTTAGAGTCCTGACCCAGAGGCTGAGACATATACTAGGTGCATGCGTATGTGTATGTGCATGTGTGCCTAAAATCTCAAAAGGAGGGAGTAATGGACAAGAAGGCATTGCATTGTGACCATTCCTCATGGCGGTGGCGGCGGGGGGTGGGGAGTGTTTCTCACTGCTTCTCTCTCTCTTTCTCCTGTGAACATAGGCACACTTTGGCAAAAAACAAAAACAAGGGACCAGCAGATGACATAATGGTTATGTTGCTGGACTCCCACATAGTCGACTGTGGTTCAAAGCCCTGACCGGTGACTTAAAACTCATGCCAGGCCTATGTGAATGCATGTCCAAGATCCCTAGAGGAAAATGGAGAAGGGATTGTGGCATGGCCACCACTACCCACCCCCGGGGGTGATTTCTTGCTTTCTGTCTCTCCAGCAAGGGCACGCATCCTATAGCAAAAATCTCTCTAAAAAGGAAAAAAAGAAAGAAAGAAAGAAAACTAAAACAACAACACTAGACTGTTTTAATAGCACATTTTTAAAGGTATATAATGTGCATCTGTGTTGCTTTCTGGCCTTTTGGCTTTTCTCATGCATAGTATATGTTTGGGTGAATATGATCCACTTGTAGGGCAAAAAATGGGCATATAAAGATGACCAGAAAAGCATATATAGAATTTTCTATCTTTACAGAGTACTTTTACATACGTTGTTACCTAGAAGTCTGTGTAAGAGACATTACATTCACCATCTGCACTCAATGGATGAGCAACTTGAGGCTCTAAGGTTTATTAACTTGCTCATGTCATAGTTAGGCAGGGGCAAGACTCGAATCCAGTCCCCTGACTCAAATCCTGGGCTCCTACTATGCTACACTGCTTCCTCCTCATTAAAGAATACTCACTCACTGTGTCCTAATTACACTGCATTAATCTAAAGTCTCCATTGTAAAGGCTGCACACGGTTCACCTTTTTGGCTTACAGGGGCAGATAAATTTTAAAAACTACGTAACTAGGCAGTTATATATTTATTACTATCCTTCTCTAGGGTGATATACGACTTGGACTAGGCCTCTAAGCGCCCAACGTGAGTTCTTGAAGGTCAAGTTGAGTTCACAGTGAACTTAAAGATATAAAACAAAATGAAGCAAGAACACCTCAAGAAACAAAAATCTGTCCAGTTGATAGGGCCTCTTAGGCCTCTGAGTATGCTTGACTCTGATGATGTCTGACTCAGTGCTTGAGGGGCTTTCTACAGATGAATCACTCTGCAACCAAAAACAGCGGCCTGGTTTTGAATGGCCACTCTTTAGTCATACATATTTTTTCAGCTTCTTTCTGAAACAGCGAGAAACAAAGACAGACACAGGTGCATTTAACAGGGTCCTGCACCCCGTGATGCTCCCCAACCCTGCCAGCCTGTCAGGATCACAGGCATGCATAGTTGTGCCCAGTGTCTTCAGGTTGACACGGGATCTGAACTCAGGCCTCCCATGTGGCTCCAATATTTTTTTTTTGGAGAGGTTTTTGCTATAGGGCATGTGCGCTCGCCAGAAAGACAGAGAGAGACAGAGAGATAGAAAGCGAGAAATCACCCTCCAGGGGGGGATGGCCACGCCACAATCCCTTCTCCTCCATTCTCCTCTCGGGATCTTGGGCATGCACGCACATGCGCCTGGCGTGAGTTTAAGCCGCCAGGTCCAGGACTCGAATGGCAGTCGACTACATGGGAGTCCAGCGACATAGCCATTACGCTCACTGCTGGTCCCTGGCTCCAATATTGTATAGTGGCATCCTACTGCCTGTGCTAGTTGCTTTTTTTTTTTTTCCAAGAGAGATTTTTGCTATAGGGCATGTGCACTCACTGGAAGAACAGAAACAGAGAGACAGAAAATGAGAAATCACCCCCTAGGTGGGATGGCCATGCCACAATCCCTCCTCCATTCTCCTCTTGGACCATGTGGGAGTTCAGAGATGTAACCATTTTGCCATCTGCTGGTCCCCCTACAATTTTAAAGTGCCACAACAAGGCAGTCTTAATATATGCCTGTTTGCTCCAAAGCAGAGATTTTTATAACATATAGGAACAATATAGAGTATGAAAAAAACTGACTCAAATTATAAATGATCCAATTCGGGGAACCCATTTGAATACTTTATTACAGAGCAGGGCCTGGAACATCTTTATTCATCTTGAACAAGTATTACTGACTAAAATCAAGTTTATGTCTTTTCTGATTACTCATTTCATTTCCTCTGATTAATTTTAGAAAAAAATGCCTATTCACATATACTTTAATTTGACTTCAGTTGTTGTCATATTACAAGTTTCCAAATATAAACCAAGATTCAGATTAGCATCCAAAGGGATCATTAATAGCAGAAAAATATTTAACATGTGAGCTTCTGTACAAAAAAGCATCAATTTAAAATAACAGAATTCAATGGCAGTGATTTATGAATTTAAAATAAATACAGTCATTGCTCAGTACCAAAAGCAATGCAGATCATACCACAAGCTATGTGATTCCCATGCTACTGGCTTGTTTGGACTTTGGAATGCATTATATATTTGTGTTCTTGTTATTTTATTTCGTAGAAAATAAGTTGTTGGCATTAGTATTTTGATAGGGTGAAAACTTATTTTTCTACCTATGTCTAAACTATCTTCTTTGACTTCCTAAATGTACAATTAGTACAGAAACAATTCGAAATACAAATGCAATTTATTTACTAGGCAAATGAGTTATTCTGATTAAAATAAAAAAAGCCAGCAAGCCATGTGCTGTTGATATATCCCAAAAAGTATTTATTTATTACATGATTATTTCTCCATGGAGATTTGTCTAACAAAGTGTAGCTAAAGCCAATATTAAAATCTGAATACTTTCTCTGTACACATAGTAACTGAATTATTCAGGGAACAGGAATGGGCAGAGTACTTCACAGAAAAAATTGTTAATCCACATGTTAATTCACATATGAGAAAATAGAATTTTAAAAAATCCAAATATCTTGCTCAATTTAATGAAATTATATTTTGTCTATATGAGTCAATAGTCAACAAAAGGACAGCTTCTTTAAAACTGTTGTATGCATAGAAATGGGGTAATAACTAAAATATTTATGAGAAATTATTGTATTTTTCTTATAAGAATGAGTTGAATGGTACAAATTAGTCAGACTTTAAAAAACAAGAACTTGTTTTCCTCATCCCCACATGTTTCTGTGACTTAACCTTTGCCTATAGGTTAGCTTATGAGTTTCTGATACATAGTGAAATAATTACTTTAGGCCTTCAAATAGCTGGAAGGAATCTTTTGGACTCGAAGCAGTTTGGGCTCATTGTTTCAGCTATATCAAAATTGCACACGTCCCCATTTGCTTTCTTAGAACCTATTGGCTCAAGTGTGGTTCCCAGAGTAGACTCATTCCATTTGGTTCAGTTACATTTTGTCAGTCTTATTTTGACAACTGCATCCTATTTGCTACTTCCTGGCTCCAGAGACTGACTTTTGGAGAGCTCTCTATCCACAGAAGGGATGGTCTTCACTTGGTTCTACAGAATTCCAATATCCACTTCTGAAGCATTACTTCCAGGAACTTGTGCAAACAAGTGTCATTGAATACTTCTGATCCTGCAAACACTGGGCAGTTCACAGGGCTCACTCAGGGTTCCGATGCCCTTGGAGAAGGCATGAATAATTAGGTTGCATGCCAGTTTACCTCAGACTGGGCAAGTATAGAGACGGGATCTACTGGATCACCTGGAGGTGATCACCTGGAAGTGACAACCAGCCTTGTGGCTTGAGAGGAAGTTGAATGCACTGAGAAACTGTGCTGCCTCTCTCTCAAGCATAGTCAAGTTCAGGCGGACGACCAGTCTGACCTCCCCTCACACACAAGCTCACTCGCTTCTAAATGCTTGTTTCATGATAAGAAGACTTCAGTGAAGT